TAAAAAGCCCTGGGGTGCAGACAGAAGAAGCTCTGGGGCTCTCTGGAAGGCCCAGTATTGCTGTACATGCAGTGCCTGTGGAAGGGCTCAGTCAGGCCCTGGCTGCCCTGGAGCCAGCAGTGGCAGGAGGGACACTGGGACACTGTGCCTGGCCATGTCTCAGGTAGCACTGACCCTCACACAGGCGCTGGCTGCAGTCTCATCCTGCACCTGCCCCCCTCCAGGTGTGCCCTTGGGGTGCTCTGTGCTGCTGCTCCCTCAGCCAGGGCCACGCCTGCCCTGTGGCCTTGATGGTCAAGGCTGGAGGAGACCAGGAGCCCTGGCTCACATCTAAACCCCATCCTGAATGACTTTGTTTGCACCTGTATGTGACTGCTGAATTTTAGACCATTTGCTCCCCCCAGTATGTGAGTTTGAGTTCTGCCTAGAGTAATATATTATTTATTTAGGTTTATAACAAACAGAAAGGAAAAAAAGGAATAAATTATTAATGTATGGATTAGCTTATACATTTCAGCTCATATCTGAGAAAGATGGCAGAGAGCAGTCTTCATTTTAAGTTCCTCAAGACAATGGCTTTTCTTTCTTCCCCCAAACCCCTAGCAGTAATAAAGGTTCTGCCATTTATCACTTAGCATTGCACTAAGAAGCCACCTGGACCTGAAATTAATTTGTGTTTAAGAAGTGGCAGACTGGCCACTGAGTTATACTTTGAATGATAGCTTTTTGGATAAGATGTTTTCTGTTGCTGTAATTTCAGTTTTCTTAGATCCAAGTTACAACTGACTCTGTTTCTCACTTCCTTTAGCATTTCCAAGTTTTCTAGTACCACAGCTCACGTGCCAGCCTTGCCTAGTGGCTAGGCTATTAGGGGACCTTTCCTAAAGGGGAGATTGTACATGCCAATTATCTGTAAAATATATCGTTTATAGGAGATTTTAACCATCTCATACTTTAAATGGAAAAGTCTGAGATTCAGGTGAAATAAATAAGAAAAATGCATATCTTTACATATTGAAATACTATGACAGCTGAAAGTGCTTGAAACATTTGAGTGCCTTTATGGCAGTTTAACCAACTGTGTCCATAAATATTTAAAACAGTGAATTATTTCTTGAAATTTACATTTTTATGTACCTTTTTTGTGGAAGAATTATTGAACAATAAAGATGCTTTCCATAATAATTTCAGCTTTTCAAAAGCAGCACTTGACTGCAAAAGGATTTTCTGGTGGCCACCATATGACTCAGTGAGCTCCCAGCATAATACTGAGCTTTGGTATTTCCCACCTCCATATTCAGGTTTTTAACAGCACAAGATAACCTAGATCCAGCCTATGTTTCTGCAGTTCCCAAATAAAAAAAAATTAAAAAGAGCTGTGCAGCAGCTGCTGTTACCTTTCAGCTGTGTCTCTGTGCACATAGATAAATCTGACCAGTAAGAGTTCCTGTTTTTAGGATGGATCAATAGGGATAAAGTGGCCATTTAAGTCCTGCTGTAGCTTTTTTAAAGGGTTACTCTGTGTAAAATATCCTGGTTTGCTTTTCAGGGGATGATAAGATCCCCACCCCACAGGTAACTACAGGCAAGTTCTGCCCTCTGCCAGCGCCTTGTGCTAGGATACAGGAGCCAAAACATGGAGCAGGGAATGTGCTCCTGTGAGACACAAGCATTTGTGCCACTTAGCTGGCTCTGGGAGGCTACATTTGCAGCAAGGAGTAGTTGACAAGATAAAAACATCCAAGCGGCTGGCACAGTCAACAAATGGGCCAGGGATGGGCTGAGACCTGACAGGGGAGCATTCTGCATTTCTGGAGCTGTCCTGGGCACACTGGAACTGAAGTGCTCTTTCAGTTGACCAAGAAGTAGCAGAGTGATTTTTTAATTTATTTTAATTGAGTTTGGGTGTGATTCCCATTGACATTTATTAAAGAAGCTGAAAGTGTTCTAAACTTCTCCCCAAAATATTTCAGTAAAAGTGAGGCAATAATTTCCTTTTTCATTCTTTTTCTATATTTGCAAGTGACCTGGAAAGTAATATTACAGAAAACTACATAAAACACTGACATGTTGTTTTCTGTCTGTGTATCATTGTTACTGATAATGATCACCAAATAATAATGACTCAGGCCCTGTGATGGGCTACATGACATTATAATCTGTTTCAATCTGCTTTTCATTTTTAGGATATATTACTTTTCAGATAAACTGTGAACTGAAAATCCCTAAGAAAGGAGAGTGGAATGTAAATTTACAAAGTCTACACAGCCAGCTGAAAACTGATTTTCTACACCTTATAAAAAATTAGACTATAAACCAAATCTTTATTTAGTCTGAATAGTTCCACAGTTTCCAGCTGGTTGCAAAAGCTGTGCTTTGATTCAGCTGACAGTAAAAACTAAGAATACACAAATCTTTTTTATCAGGCAACAAGTACAAATGTTTCTCTGTTAAGTAAACTGAAGTAGATAAATCCTTAGCTACACACTCAGCCAGAGCACTTCCACTGTGATGAGGTCTGACTGCATGTGTGTGAAATTTCAAGGGGAAGTGTTCAAGTAGTGGCAATGAGGCACACAGAGAGAAGGTTTTCACTAAGGTAGTCACAGCATTTCCAGGAGCAGCTGGATGACATAGTAAATTAACTCTATTGAATGATGCATTAATTTGGTAGGGCACTTGGAGGGCCCAATTCTTAGTTTCTAAAACCACATTCTAGTCTTCTGGCTTTCTCTTCATTTTGCTGTGAAGAATAAACTGCAATCTAGACATCATCCTGTACTAGAGGGAAAGAGGATTGTGTGCATTTCCAAAGAATTTTGAAACTTTGTTTTTCTCTTTCCTTTTCCCAGATAGAGAGTGTCTTAAAGAAGTGAATGTTATTGGTGTGAAGAAAAACAATCACATATGATTGCATGCATCTGTTATGTGAGAAAACACATCAGTATTTTTGATAGCTCGATGCTGTCAACTGAAACAGTTCTAATGCTGGTAATAATTTGGGCTCTCCCTCTTTGCACAGCTCTTTGTATTAGCAGGTCTCTCTGTGCAGTCCCAGACAGATCTGTGTCACAGACACCTCCTAGCAAAGGTCCCTGAAAGGCAGATGTCATGTTATATTGATGCAGACTGTTATCCAACCTTGTACCCCACTGGGGTTACCAACTGGGAAAAACAAACACTGGATTTTCACTGCAGTGTCTTTTTGCATAGATTAAAGTAGGTAGGTGACAAGGTAGGTAGGTTAGAAGTTCATGGAAGAGGTTTGAGTTTTGAAGGTCTGTCACATAAATTTTACAGAATCCATAAATTTTACGGCTCACCCCAGCCCAGGGTGGTTTAATCATTTTCTCATGCAGTGTTACTACTTGCAGGCTGTGGTAAGATATCTTCAGCATTTAATTTTACTATTAACCAATTGTAATTAACAAAATACACTAATGATTACATCTTGCACTGCATATCCAGTTAGACACTTTTACATGTCTCCTGTATGATGTTTCATTGAGAAAACCCCAGGCTGAGTGGGTTGTTGCTCACTAGGGTCATCTGCAGACTGGAATGTCAAAGAACCCAAAACAAGGTGAGATTTTGTCACTGTTGTGTGTGGGTGGGGTCTCTGCCCAGCACAGCTGTCTAGCAGTGCATCTTCCCCTGTGTGCTGTAGCACAGGTAACAGTCTGTGGGGCATTGAGCCACGGGCAAATCAAAGTGCTTTGAATGTGGTGCTTTTCTGGGACTGTATCATCTGAGTGGTTGAGCAGTCCCAGTTCCTGGCCATGGGGATGACTGGAAGTGGCAGCTCAGACTGTAAATCCTGCCCTGCCATTCAGCACAGGCCCCTCAGGGAACTGCTGGCATCTCCTGCCTCTCAATGGCTCCTGGCGTTTTCTCTTTGCTTGGCTCCCTCAAATCTTCCAAAGTCCCTTGAAGCCACTAAAAGTTTTTGACATAGAGCTCAAGGGAAGATTGTTATCTCTATCAAATGTGGATTCCAAGACTGTAGATACATACAGAAATTAAAGTACATCAGGGGGTGGATTAATAAATCTGTGTGACTACACTCTGCTGGTGTATCACGTAAGGATCTCTTTTGGTTTGAGATATAAAATTCCAAACTGATCTTTTTTTTCAAAATGAGGTAAACAGCAGCTTTGAATAACTGAGTAGCACAGTAATTAGCTCCTACAACTAAAGAGCAATCTAATGTTTCTTCTGTATCTAGTTTTCCATGTGAATTTTTCATAGCTACAGATGGGAAAGAACAGGAATTAATTCTTTCTCCATGCATTGCTCAACCTGCAAGAAAAGAAATTGGGGTCTTGAGAAAAGAACAGAAAATCACCAGCCATGAAGAAAGCAGACATCACTGCTTCACTTAAAAAATCATTCAACTGTGTTTTGAATTGCTCGTCTTTTCATTGACTTATGGTGTTTCAAACAGAAAGTAATTTTCTGACTCCAAGGCTTTTCCAAGCAACTGCAATTTCATTCCCTAGGTTATGGTGCTGGGCACACCCAAAATGGATTTGTGTTGTTTTGTTTTGTTTTGTGGATTTTTTATTAGAGCTTATGAGAAGCACAGATACTTTGCTTGCACAATATTGCCTTAGGAGAGAGCTTCCTTCGAAAGTGCCTGAAGAAGAACTTCTTCCTAATGAAATGACAGCTGAAAAGATTTCAAATATTTGTATAAATTTTTAATAAACCACAATTTGGTAGGGAACCATTTTCCAAATTATTTTCCTGGCATTTGAAAGTTGTAACAGAAATGTTACATTTTATCCATCTGCTTCGTGGTGTGTGCTTTTAATAATTAAAAAGTGTACTGAAACCTACATAAACTACAGGGTTTTGGCCTAGATGGTAAAACCATGCTATCAACTTCCCTTAAAGGATTTATGATTGATTATATATGGAGTATTTTTCAAAAGATTATTGCATGATGTGGATGATTAGCAGTTACTCTATAATGAAATGTGAACTCGTGTATTTTGTAGAACCACTAGATGAGCTGAAGATCAGAAGCCACAGCACTGAACCACTACCAAAGCTGGAAAACAAAGAGAGAGGACATCATGGTTCAGCTTCCTCCAGGGAGCCAGGGAAAGCTCAGGAATGGGATGGAACACCAGGCCCCCCCATGGTGTCCAGCAGGCTGGGGAGATCCTCTGTCAGCCCAACCATGCTGGCTGGAGGCAACAGCTCAGGTATGTCAAGTACAGCGCAGGAAGATCTCATCAATCTCCTTGGGAGCTGAAGACTCTCTAAAGATACACTGGGGTAGGAAGCATTCAGATTCTTTAGACTTCCAAATATCTGCTAGATTTGGCCCTGCCCATTGAGTGCTGCACTAATGAGGCTTGTGCTGTGCTTGTGCTCTGTGCCAGAACAGCTGGGGTGCTAGCCTGGAATAGAAGCATGTAAACATGTTTGCCATCTACTTTAAAAGAAGTAAAGGGTTCCACCTGACATTGAAAAGGCAAAGACATTCCTAGGATGGCACCTCAGGAAGTTCAGGTATCACATAAAGTAACAAAAATACACTTTGCAAAAGCAAGGCTGTCTTACTGAGGGGCACAGTGACAGGACAAAGGCAGCCTTTGCTTTCTGCTTGTACAGAAATTTCTAGAAAAGTGACTGTGGATTTCAGAAGTCTCAGATAAATACCTATTCATTTTATTATTCAAAAATATTTACATGTTAAATAGTAAATTGAATAACCATGGCATTATAATGCAGTCTTGTTTATAAATTGACGAAGACAAATGGAACTGATAAATGAATAGACATCTATAAAGAGATATTTATGGCCCTTGCATGAGTATTGTATTGGTAGTTTTGAGATTTCACAGCTCTCATAAAAAAGTAACTTCATTGCTTATTAGCTGGACTGTGAGAAATATCCCATTTAAGGACAGCTGACATGTCTAGTGCTGAAGCCTCATGGTCAGTGTTCAGTAAGTATAAGAGCAGGAATGAGCTGCTCAGACAAGAAATCATTCCTGCCTGAGAGATCTGCTGGGCAGTGAATGGCAGCAAGGAGTGTTTACACTGCTGAGTGAGCAGAGATGCTCACAGCTCACCCAGAACATCGCTTCCCTGGGTGATAATGGGACTCACATTGTCCCTGAATTGCTGAAAATGACACCTGAAACTCAGTGTATAAGTTGAAGAGTCTTTGCTGATGTGAAATGTCATTTGGAACAATCATGTAATCCAGCTTTGCTTGCTACAGACCCCCCAAACAGTCCTTCCTGGTGCAGGGAAAGTGACTTTTCTGCAAACCTTATCACTCTATCACAGGTCTTTTTTGTGCTACTGCCATTTCCTTACTTGTGTCTTACAAAACTTCCTGGAAGGTGTGAATTGTCCAGATAAGCTCCTGGTAGCTTTTGGTAAAAATTCTGTCCCCAGTGTCTTGGACCATCATCTGTGCTAATGCACATTAAAGAATGGGTTTAAAGCTGCCACATCAAAATTTTGGGAGATCCAATAATTAGACCAAAGGTGTGTACCAACCTTTTCAGTTCTGCAAGGTGACACTATGGACCAGAGTAGTAAGGAAGTTAAAACTAAAGAGAAAGCTCTTAGCAAAATATAACACTGCTGTCCAACATTTCTGCAGCAGTTTTATTTTAAAGAGTTGGTTGATCTCCAAAAGCAGACAAAACATGTTGGCCTCAGTCTCCATTTGGCATCAGCAAACTGTAATAGTTGTTGAATCATGCCTTGATTTAGTTAACTGTGACTTTGTCTTACACTGCTAGGACTGTCAAAGAAAAATTTTATTTTCTTGGCTGAATTTTGATTCCTTTCTATAATTAAAATCTGAGAGCTGATTATGACTTTTCTTTCCCTGCAGATTTACGATATTTCATTTGATGAATATTGCCTCTCATCTGCCCTGAATATTTTTTCCCCTGTGTCTCTTGCTGTTGCCTGAGCAACATGTTTTACCTTTACTTGGTGGGGCACTGCATTGAGAATGCTGTACACAGTTCTCCTCAATGAACTTGTACATGAACAGTACCAGCTCATTCTCTGCAATTAAATTAAAACTGTAACAGAATGCAAGAAGAGAGATTTAATACTTTCATATGAATACAAATGCTTTCTGGAGTCAAGGAGATAAAGTAATTCTGCACTAGGAATTAGAACTTAGATTTACCTCAAATAAAATCTAGGCAGTCCCCAGTACAGTCATCACTGCTGTTGCTCTCTTTGCAACATCATAGATAACAGGAAAAAAGGCTACTTTTTTTTTTTTTTTTTTTTTGTGCAGACATGTCCTTGAAACACTGCAGTTTGCTACCTGCCTCCTACTTCACACTGCTACAGGCATTTATTAGGGCAATATTTAATTTTTTTTTTTAATGGAGTTGAATTGATCTGCTACAAAAGAGAAAGGATGTGAATGGACTTCCCACAGGCACTCATCAGGCAACGCTGCTCCAGCACAGATGAGCTGGGAACTGGGGTGGCCTGGCCAAATACCTGAGTGAGAACAGTGGGTTTTGGTGGCCTCTCCCCAACTCTGAAACTGCTATTAAGATCCAAGAGAGAATGAGCCATGTCCAAACAGAATCTTGAACTTTCTGTCCATTTTGTTCAAAGAGCCTGGGCTGTCAGCTGCACACAGTTATCACTGTCTCTAGTGTCTGATTGTTCTGTGACAGAACTTGTCAAGGACACTTTCTGTTTCTTGGCATCCTATAATTTCTTGTGGAAAGCAGTGTGATTTGGGGGCATGCTGACTTTTAGGAAAGTCAGTGCAATTATAATGAACAGCCAAACACAATCTGTAATACTGAATCTGTATAACTTCACTCCAGGAGACTTGAAGAGCATTTTCTGGAATGTTGCTGCTTTTTTCCTAACTACAAAGAAGAAGCATTTTGCATTGCCACCTGCTGCTGGAGAGCAGGCACTGCCCTGCCTTTAAAATCTCAGAAATTCTGTTGCATCCTGGTTTTGAATTGCCACCAGCTTGTCACTCAGCCAGCCATAAATATTCCATCTGAAAAGATTGTAGGTAATCAGGAAGGGAGGAAATACCCACCCTTCATTGGAATTACTGGCCATCGTTGTTGATTTCCAAAAGCAATGAATATTTTAAGTTCATCTATTTGAGAATGAGACAAAGCCTGGAAAGCCAAAGGCACAAGATGCTTCCATTGTTGTAAGAAGGAAATAGCAGCAAAAAGTCAGTTCATGCCAGCCAGGTCTGTGCCACAAACACCTACATTTTCTCCTCACAGGCAGTATTGCTGTGCTCCTAAGCCCACAAGGATTCTCCACATGAAAGGAACTTAATGCTGGGGTTTTATGTTACTGCCCAAGAGGCCCAGACCTTGCCTGCACTGGTCATTGATGTTCTCTGCTCACAGGCTCCCCTAAGCAGTGCCTGTCACCTGTAATGAAATGAGCAGTACTGGGAGCTGCACACTGAGGACATCCCACCAATGCCCGTGGTTCTGCTGTGACATCTCCAGGATGTGGGATCACACCAATTCTGTTGGAGTAAAAATATTACCTTGGTGTAAGAAAAACACACACAAAAAACCCAAACAAAGATACAAAACACTTACTTGTATTTCAAAGAAGCCAGGAAATAGCAAACAAACACAGCCAAATCCTACAACAAAAGCTTTACAAAGAAAACACCCATATTTCAGCATACAAAGTATATTCCACTAACAGCTTTTCCCTTTGGGCAAAATATCCCCTAAACCCAAACAGGGGGTTCCTTTCCAGACATGGTTTTGCTCATTACCTGACTTGGGTTTGAGACTTGCAAAACTTTTGACCTATGGATATCTGGTAACATTGAGTTCCACAGGTTCAGTGCTCCCCTTGTGAAAACTGCTCAGTTTGATGTGCTGCTGTGATATTTTAGCACTAACTGGCTTCTGCCAATAGCAAAGTACTAAATGCTTTTTTTAGATAGCATAATACTATATAGTTTATTGCACCATAATGTTTCATAACTTCAAGCTGTATTTCAGCTTACTCAGCTCTTTTTAGGCCAGTATGAAGACACTTGGTGTGATGTATTTTTCCAGCATACATGCTTTCTTTTTCTTCTTTTTCTTCTTTTTTTTTTTTTTATGTGATTGCTCCCAGCCTGTCACATTGCCTTGTTTAATTCAAAATGCATTTCTTGGCAGCTGTAGCAAATAAGCAATATTTCTCTTTTCATGTGCAAAGAAGAGACTGTGACAGGATAAGGAGCTTCTCCAATGTAAGTGACAGCCAGAGCATTTTTTTGAATTAAGATTAGGATAGGCAGAATGAAGCCTTCCTTGGATGGATAAAGAACTCTTCCCATTAAGATCCAAAAATTAAAATTGTGAAGGGTTGTTGTACTTCTGGAAAATATAGAAAGCCATAGCACGTTGGTATAAAACTGATTGAAAATATTTCCATAAAATCTTGTGGCATTTCAGCACTGTGTATTATTGAGGAAAATCCTACAACACCCCATGTCCCAAATACAATCAGCCAAGCCTCGACATCTTTAGTCATGCTGGCAGCCCCTGCAGTTTTGGAAAACCAGCCATTTATATGAGTGCTTAGACACATAATTAAATACACAACTTTAAGGCAATCCTATTTGTGCTTGGAAAGCCTGTATTTCTGTGCTGCACAGTCTCTCTCAAAATTCTCATCCTTAATGCTGCCCTTTGGAACTAAATACTTGCCTGGTTCCATGTGTAACCCTCCTGGTGCTGAGTTTAAACCCAAGAGTGCAGTGATGCTCAGTCCATTGCAGCTGATTTTGTCTGTGGGTTTGGTGTCAGGGGGCTGTGGTCCCACTCCACTGTCTGAGTGTTGTGGGCACTGTGGGTGCCTTGAGAGGGGACTGAGACCCACTGTGCCCCCCCTAACACTGCACCTGGCTCCCAGAGACCTGCAGTGCACTTTTCAAATCATGTCACTGTGAGAGATGCGACATTTGAAGCTGTGCAAAATAACACCGCTAAATTTCCAAATACACCAAGTGAATTTTATGAACAGTTTTGTGCATAATATTTCACAGGCTCCTGGCTACCCCCAAGAATCTGCTGAATTCAGACCTCATGCTGCCCATTGATTGCAAAGAGCATCTCTAAAGGCTGCTCACATGCCCTGCATCCCCTGGCCTACAGGGCCTTCCCCATGTGCCTCTCAGGATGGCTGATAGAACTCAGCTCCACACAATAAAATTCTGTCACTAACAGACTTCTCAAGATGTCCAAGAATACTCATTTCAGATGTTAATACTGAGCTGTCTCAGTATCATCCACAAGAGATAAAAAGGAATTTCTAAATGCTAGAAACCATCCCTGATATTTACTAGCAGTAGTTTTTCCTTTAAGATTCTTGGCATTGAATAGGAAAACCCAGATAGTCCCAGCAGAGTGAATAAGCTGCCCATAGCTGAAAAATAACATGCTGCAGAATACAGAGCAGTGAGTTGTGCAGCACTTAAAGAACAGACCTTTTATGGACTATTTTTCCCCCAAGTGGTGTGCTGTTAGGCAGACCACTAATTACAGTAGAATACAGTATTTATTTGGTCTAAAAATATTGCCACTGATACAAGAAAAAGCCAGATGGAGCCATGTCTGAAGCACCTTTTGGTAAGGATCACCATGGAAATCACAATAGTTTCCTTAATACTGGAACATATATTACAGGGAGATAAAGGAACTAATACTTCATCTGTGTGATAGGTTTTATTACTTTGATGCCAGATGAAAGGAGTCTCTTTGGCAAGGAAATGGTAATCTCTTGCTGTTGCTCACAGATCCAAACTGGAAATTATGACACTTCTTTCTGCTTTCCTAAAGCAAAGAAAATAATTCAGAAGCATAGTCAGACAGTGTCTTGGAGTTTTTTATGCACTGAGTGTCTGATTCTGCTTGTCACAGCAGAAACAGAATCTTTACTTAGCAGTAAAGAAAAACAACTGAAAAAATCCCAATTCTTGTCCTTTCTGAAACCCCAGCAGAATTCCAAGAGATGAGAGATGAGATATAATAATGAGATCCATTATTATATCTATATTACTGAAAGGAACAGTCAGAAATCTGGCACACAGACAGTGTGAAATCAGAACAAAAACAAACCTAATCAACCTTCAGAGTAACTGCCCAAGTCCAAAAAAAGCAAAGCAGCAGACTGTGTACAAAAGCAAGGTTATGGAGGAGGCCAGTCTGCTCCTTTCTGTGTGCCTGTGGCTGTGTTGACTCGCGGTGTGTTTACAGACTCACTCGGAGAGAGTGAACTGAATAATGCATTCGGCAAGCAGCATAAATATTTTTGCTGCTCAGCCAGCTGGATGTTAACTAACCTATTAATATTTAGTTGATGAATATTCACCCATACAGATGCTTTCATTGGTCTAAGTGCTCCAGAATAAGTGGATAACTCTTCTCCATGCTCTATTGAATTCTGAAATATCTGAAGAAAATAAGCATTGAAGGTGACAATGAGAAAGCATCAGTGAGAGTGGAAGAATCCATTTCAGCATGGTGCTGGTATGTGGAGTAATGTGCCAGCTGTCCTCAAGTTTCCAAAGTGTGCCAAATGACTTCAAGGTCATGCTGGCAATAGGCATCTTCTTCCTTTCAAGCTGTGGCCCAACCAGTGGCCAGTGGTGATACTAGAGACCCACATAGGAAATAGAGAAATCAGTGTAAAACAAACACAGACAAAGCAGCTCTTTAAATGAGGCATGACAAAATAAATTTCAGACAGACACAGGGAAAAGATGTGCTTCAGAGACAAACTTGCTAAACCACAACTGCACAAAGCATAGGTCCTTCCTTTCTTCTTGAAAACATAGAATTGGATAGGAAGAATTCTTCAAATCTTATTTTAAAAAAACCTAGAAATTCTTTAAATTCTGATGAAGCATGGTATTGTAATTACTTGTTATTCATGGCAAAGCAGCACTGCCAATGTGAACAGTGAGACTCTGTTATTGGACCAAATCTATCTGGTGAGTCCAAATGTTTTCGGTGTTTGCCCACTAAATACAAAAAGCAGGTGCAGGGTTGGGAAGAAGGTTTATGAAACATGAGGAGATGAACACATTGCTCTGAGCAAAGTCATAGACTGAGAGCTGCTTCCTCAGCCATATAAAGGAAATGCAAGGACAAAAAAATTTCTTGGGCAGAAACAGGCAGATCCCTTTTTCAGAAAATGGCAGATTCCCCCAGACCAGCTGAACACTAGGGTAGTACATGGATGTCAGCCTGGCTTAGATATAAAAACTTTCATCCAGGCCTCCTGAACTGCATGGTCACCTCATTGTCAGTGTGTACAATAGTAACCTGTGCTGGAAATCAATGGGGAGCCTTCTCAGAAATTACTCCATATAAAGCAGTAGAAAGAAAATCAAATAACACTGTCATTTTTGTGAAGTTCTTCTCTGAAATTGAGCTTTCTCTCAAGGCAACCATTGCTTCTGTTATCATCTTGATTCTGGGCAACTGACTTTGCCACTGCTGATGTTTTGATTTTTCTCTTCTTCCTACTTTATGTCTCTCAATTCATTGCTACTGACATGAGATTCCCAAGAATTTTTGGTGTCATTCCAAATCCCCAAGTGTGACAGTATCCTCACCACTTTTACATACCTCCTCCTTTATTTTCTGGCATTTCATGCCTTCCTTCAGCACAACCAGTCTTTGGGCTGTCATGTCCCTCAGCTCTGGGATGGAGAGGTGAAACCAGAAGCCTCTGTAATTCCCTTAATCACTGCTGTATTTCATGAAGAGTAGAAAAGGTGCTGGGGAGCAGGGAAGTGGGGAAACAGGAATGCTTCTTTTGTATTCTTCCTGTCTGCTGTTTTATGCTCTGTCCTTCAGAGATGCCAGAGCAAAGAGGCCAGGAAATGGCATGAGTCCTGCCTGAATCCCTCTCCTGATCTCAACTTCTGCTCATGATTCAGCCGTATGTCCAAGACTTCAACTGGTTACCGAGGCCGGAGCCTCCATTTCAAGGGAATCCTGGAAGCACAGTGTTTCGGCTGGCTGCAGCAGTCCCCTGCTCCTGCTCACTGGTGTTCCTCTCTCTCCCTTGCAGAGTCCAAGTCGAGTTGCCGGCTGGGCCGCTCCGCGAGCACGTCAGGAGTGCCTCCTGCGTCGGTGGCGCCGCTCCGGCAGCCCGGCGAGCTCCAGCCGAGCCAGGTACCATCGTTAGCCAATCGGGAATGACTCCATGTGCTGCAACATGCCAAATGTCCCCACCTCTCTGTCTGTCATTTGTTACAGTAAATGGTTCTTTTGCTTTATGTCTTTATTTTCTGTGTGTGTGCGTGCATCTGTGTGTGCGCATCTCCCATTGGCAATGAAATTCCACTGGCCACAGCCAGCAGAATTTTCTTTGCTCTTAATTCCTCGTATCTTTTTCTGTCTTCATTCTGTAATATAAATGTAGTAAAACTGTACAGTATGAACTGGCTGGGTTTTTTATTTTTTCATGCTTTCTGTACTTTTTTACTGTCTTAAAATTTATCAAACTTTGATAAATTTAATCTATGTTTTTATGTAAATTTCTTTTAAATGTCTCGTCTAGAGCACTTACACCAATGTTGTCAATGACTTGTACATACTTGACTTCTGCCCAGTTGTACTTTAATATTTGTGCCAGTCTCACATCTGGTTGGAGCTTAATGCATGATTGTATTACACTGTGATTTATCACTGTCCTGAAAACTGCTCTTACAGCAAGTGATTTTGTTTAGTTGAGGCAGCTAGACTCTCTTCAGCTATAGACCATGTAATTCTTACAGGACTATTAAATAGTCCACTGTAGTTATATTTATTGTATGTTGTTAGGAACCAAAAAAAAAAAAAACAAACAACCAAATCAAAGGAGCAACATCTCCTTTTATCTTAAACAGAGATACTTTTTTTGTCGTCATCAGAAACAAAACTGCCACATACGAAAAAATGAAAGTGTTTGGGTTTGGCAAATTTCTCCAGTAGAGAGAAAATGGAAAAGTAATAAAGACATGGGAAACCTATACTTACCTTTATTTTATATGCTAATACTGATATTGTAACATTTTGTTGCACAGACCTGTATTATTAATTTGACAGAACTAGCTGAGAGTAGCAATTGAAAGAAGAGGTTTTGCTTAAACACCATGTGAATGGCTTCTGTCAAAGCACTGTGGCACTGCATCACTGGTGTGTATGTGTGGGGTGTGTGTGCACAAGGAGACAGGAGCACAGATGGATTTAGGTGCACATGCATATGTGTATGCACACACAGGCACCCTTATTTTGATGGAGAATTTTTGTCTGGCTTTCAGGGAGTTAGTCCCCAAAATACTATTGAATGTCACTGAGGTTTGAGTGGAATTCTCCCTGAGGACTGCTTTGCAATAATCACATATTTGTGTTTGTATCTTGGTGAGTTGCTCCAATTATGTCTCGACCAAAGCAAAGACCACAAGACTAAGTTGATTTACTCACTCCAGACAGCCAGCAACTTGTTAGGAAGGTTATATTTGGATAGCCAAGTCTGTACAGGTTACAGCTCTGTAACCTGTTTGAACTGATATGATTGTATTACTTCTGAGTGCTGCCAGACATGAAGACTGAGAGAACCCTGCACATTTCTAAAGCATATTTTACATAAGCAAATCAAATCTATAATGGAGATTCAAAATGACGGCCCACCTAAATAACACATCAAGTGTTCCTTCATCTAAGGAAGAAATTAGGGTAATTGTACTTCCAAAGGATTTCAATGTCCCAGTGTTCATGTAGTATATATTTTTGATTAAATGGGTTTTACAGCACTCCTGATGCTTTGCTGTTTACTCAGTGGCAAAGGCACCTTGGGTGTTTTGAAGGGATTTTAGCCTGTCAGTTTATACTAAGAACTAAACAATAAGCCTTGAAAGCAGAAGCTGATGTGATAGAAGAGATAATGAGCCTCTTAGAAGCTGCAGCCAGGGTTCACTGAAACTGTGGAGGGAAAAATCCACCTCAATTCATACAGAAGAAAGGAACAAAGATGATAAGAGGAATTTTCGAGTGACTGTAGAAGGGTGATCTTGTTAATTGAATAATGTATGGTACGGTCATGACTTCATGAAAAACAAGAAAAAACAGTACAAGATTTCTCTCCCTAAATCTTCCCTTCCAGCTGACAATCTCTTACTGTCCATCTATTATATTGCCATTTACTATGATAGCATAATTTTTAAAGGTGTGGATTTGACCCTGATTTCAGAGGAATGACAAAAGTCTTATCTCCGTGGCAGATACAAACATTGATTGTTCTTTCAACACCTGTTCTATCTTAATGTGCAAATAATGGTTGATGGGTGAAATGTGTTTCCAACAGCTGGGCTGTTAGCCCATTCTCAATCTGCTGGGTTGTGGCATACAGGGTATCTATTTTTGTGTGCTGTGGCTATTGATTGTATTGATACTTCTTTCCTTAACAATATCATAATGAGCAAATTAGACTTTCCAAAAGATTAAGATGTATTGTGTTATTTCCCTCTTTGTTGATCAGATGGGCACAGCTAACATTCAAACAGGAATATAAGATCTGGGAAAGGGCAAATTGCTGTTAATTGGTTTTCTCAAATCTTCATGGATCCCAGACTTGTGGTTTTCAAAATGCTTAATTTGGAGAAAAAAGACAAATTTGCAACTGAGTTCTCAAAACCCATCATTTTTAATACAATTCAAAAAAGTGGTGACTATGCTTAGTAATTAAAAATAGATCTTATGTAAGGAAACCTATATTATAAGTCCAATCATATATTAGGTAATTATGTAAGTATTGTAATTTAACTCCCCTATGCCTTATTTTCTTATTTCTTGTTTGGTTATTGATGTAGGAATGGTGAGGATTAATCAGTATTCACAGAATATATCTATGGTATATTGATGGGAAGCAGTAGAGGGATCTCCTAAAAATAAGAAGAAATGGCTTATGAGCAGAGATTAATTATGTGGCTGGTCTCTGATGGAGAACACTAAAAATTCTGTAGTGTAGGAGCAGCCAGCATTTACCAAAATGCTGAGCCAGATTGAGAACCTACCTTCTGTTCTTAGCTCTGGGAAATGGTGAGGGCATTTGGAAAGTGTTGATTGCACAAAGCAGCCTTGGATGAAGTACTGAATTGTCTCAATTTAAACTGAAAGATAAGCATAAGTTTATCCTGGAACTGAAGTTATTGGTTGTGAAAGGACAAAGTTTAAGAAATTAAGGAAGTAGCAGAGGAAGTCAGGTGGGGGGGCTTGGAACTGTAATAATGGAGCGTAGAATATTTTTAAGGAACAAAAGTGCCACATAGCTGCATTTCCTAAATGCATATCTAAATAAAAACATCCTACAGACATGGGTATAAAGAGCAGAGAAGTATTCTAGATAGGATGTATTGTCTTGTAAGGAAAGGAAAGAAGGAAATGTTAAAAATGCAGAAGCAGGCCATCCTCAAGTGCCAAAAGACAAACCAGCAGGGAAGATGACCAGACTGAATCGAGTCTGAATAGAGTTTTTGCTGGGACTCAGGAAAAAAGACAGTTTATGAAAGTTGGAAGAAGGGACAAGCAACTCAGGAGGACAAGGGTGTCATGAGGTTATGGAGGGAGACACTTAGAAGGGCCAAATCATGACTAGCACTTGATCTGTCTACTGTCATAAAAGACAGATGACAAAAAAAATGTTTCTATAGAAACATTAGCAGCCAAAGGAAGTCTAAGGAGAATCTCCATCCTCTTTTTGGATGGCAGAGAGAACATAATGACAAAAGGTGAGGAAAAATCTGAGTTACTTAATGCCTTCTTTGCTTCGGTGTTCAATAGTAGGTCCAGCTGGTCTCCAGGTACCACCCCCTGAGCTGGAAGATGGACACAGGGAGCAGAATGAAGGCCCCATAATCCACAGGGTAATGGTCAGTGACCTGCTTTAACACTTACACACAGTAGGATACCACCTGTTTATATTAGAAAAAAATTTCTTGTCAGAAAGAGTTGTCAAGAAACAGGCTGCCCTGGGAAATGGAAGAGTCCATTCTACCATCCTTGGAGATATTTAAAAGGTGTGTAGATGTGGCACCTGGGGACATGGTTTAGTAGGGGGCTTTTCAGTGCTGGGTTAAAGGCATTTTTCAGCCTATGTGATTCTCATTCTATAAAGGTATGACATTGTTCACAAAATGTTTCAGGGAATGGAGAAATGAGAGTAAAGCAAGTTATATCTTACAGAAAAGAAGTGTGTGAATAACATTAGAGATAGTAAAAGTCCATCTGTGTTTGGCCTTTATGTGCAAATGAAAACAACTGTCTTTTGTAGCCATCTAAGTGGACAGAGAACAGTAGAATTTAACCACTTTGAGGGGTTTATAAAATACAATAAACAGGGTCTCCACAGCTACCCCAGTAAATCACTCCTCACCCATTTTGCTGGAAGCTCTGTGCTAGCAGAGCACCTGAGATTTCTGTAGCAGGCATGGTCAAGGGTTTCACCCTGCAGTGGAAAATGCTCAGTCTTGCCACAGGACAGCTACAGTGAACAAAGCTGCTCACTGGAGTAAAGCAAGCAGGATTTGGAATCACAGGTATCACTGCTGTGCAATGATGTTTCCCTGCCATCCTATCGTTTCCACATCTTCACCTCGGGGTAACAAAGGATTGCATTCCATCGATGAGCTCAGATATCCCTGTGGCACACAGGCTAGGTGTGCACTGAGCATGTCTGTCACAAAAGAAGAAAACATTTCAAGCAGACGGTGGAAGTCCCTCTGCTGGAGAGCAGAACGTCTTGCACCCAGAGTTGTAATGTACATAAAATCCTCTCTGTATCACTGCCGTGCCTCTCTGAAACAGTCTTCAGCACAGAAAAATCCCACTGGTTTCCATTTTAAGAAAAAAAAGATATCATATAAACACCTTAGGTTTTTTTTTCTGCCAATGAACTTTGCAAAGTGAGGTTTGTTTTCATTAATTGGGAGACAGTGATTGGAAAATCCCACATACAGATGGTCTGAAGAAAACCACACTCTTTGAAAACAAAACTACTGATAGCTAGAGTTTCATATTTTAGCTTTCCTGCAAAGCAGAACTTATTTTCACATAGATTTCCACAAAAGTGTGTTCCTTATCTGCAAATGTGCAGCCTCTCTTCATGCTGCCTGTTAGTTTCTTGCTTTTCAGTG